CCCCACCGGACCCGCTCTTAATCTTTCTTTCCTCCACAGAGGCGCCTCCATCCTACGAGCAGAGCTGCAGCAGTGCCAACTCCAGCATCAGCAACGGCAACTAGCCTCCCCTGCTTCGAGTCCCGCTGGCGCTGCCCGCCCCCGGGCGCCACGGTTCACCCACCTGCCTACTGCAAAGTCTGGTACAGCGCAAGGCGTCTCTTTATCTCTCTGGCTGCTTGGTGGGGTAAATGGCACATCCCAGCCTGGGCTTTTGAAGTCTCTTTCTAGGGAGGGGGGGAAAAAAAAAAACCAAAAAGGGCAGCCAGAGCAGCCCGTGTGTGTGTGCGTAGGAGAGGTCTGGGAAACTGAACCATCTCCTGCTGCTGCACCAAGTGCTGGAGAACTGGTTTTGCCCCAGGGATGCCCTCTGCAGCAGCCTGTGTTTAAAGTACTGTAGTAAAAACTAACTGCTTTACTGTCAAAGCACCTGCGATGCCTTATCTGAAATGCTCCTGACTTGGCATGTGTCCGCTGTAGGTGAAGGCTGGGCTGTGTGGACTCTCTTTTCTTTTTTGTGGGCCGTGCGTTCTCCAGAAATGGTTTTGACAGCCCTTCCTCCTTGTCCTCGTAGGTCCTAAGGGTAGCTGAAACAGGAGGTTTCTTGGAGTAAGCAGGTTCGGAAGGTTAGGGACTCTTAAAAAGCCAAAAGCACAAGCCCTCGCTATACCTGCATTGTGGGGTGAGTGACCGGCACCCTTTGGTCCTCTCGCAGCAGGCTGCAGCGCTGGCTGCCTGTGGTGAGAGGAGAGCAGGCTCTGGCAGCGGGGAGCTCGCTGGGGCACTTGCTCATAACCCAAGAGACCCTGGTGAGCTGCGGAGGGAGAGCCCGGTGTTACCGTGGGGAGCCCACCAGCCAGCTTCTGGCCTTTTTCAGCAAGGGTGACTTTTCTCTGAACAGCCCTGTAGGAGAGTCCAGCCTTGCTCGCTGCTCCACCGCAGCGCTGGTCAGTCTGCAAGCAAGGGGGACCCGATCCCCCATGTCCCATCTCCCACCCTGCAGGGTCCCCTCTCCATCCCAGCTGCCGCTGCCTTCGGCAGGCCAGAATTACATGACAATCAAGTTACAAAAGTTTGTCCGATGCTACCTCTGAGTCTGCCCAAGGGCCCTGTCCGTGGAAGCCCTTCCCTCCGGGACAACCCTCCCTCGAGGCTCAGCCCGGCGTCTCTCGCAGGAGCGGTCCACGCTGCCGAGCCAGTGTGCGATGTGCGATGGCGCTTGGCCTGGGGGCTGTTCTCTCTGCGAGCTGGTACTGGTTTACTGCTTGTCTCCTGAGCCGAGCCACGGCAGGTTGTGAAAATGAGTGAGTGGGAGCACGAACACTACGCCTCATGTGCAGCCTCCGCCGGACCTGGCAGGTTGAGGGAAGAAACTGGTGGATGTAAAACCAACGTTTTTATTTTCTGCTTTTTTTTTTTTTTCCCCCCCTTGTTTAGCTTTATGCCGGTAACTGTCCTAACGGCTTCCTGCACTTGCTTCCATGATCCTGTCCTAATCAAACCAGGAGGTACGAGACAGTATCATAATCCTGCGGTCCTCTGAGAATGGGCCTCCACGCTGCCTCACGCTGGGTGGGCAATATCTAACAAACCTGTTAGGAGCACTGCAGCCTCTGCCTCCTCATTTTAGCCTGGCTCTGCACACCCCTGGCAGGCAGCTGGGGACAAGCCCTGCTTTGCACTCTTTCTTTGCAAATACATTTTATTTTTATTTTTTTTTTAAGTGTTGAACTGCTTTAAGGATAGTGTAGAGAAGGTGCCGTTCTGAGCAGTGCTGGCACAACATGCACCGATGTTGATAGAATGATTGTTACTGTCTTTTTATATATATGAGATGAAGTTTTGTTTTTAATGATTGAATTCATAAATACAAATTTTAATGCTGTATTTAATAAATTATTCTAAGAGAAATGCTGTGCTTTTTCATCCATTTCTGATGCTTATCCATGTGCCTGTTCATGCCAAATCCAGGAATGCACCTTGCTGATTTCTTACAAAATGAAGCAAGTTTTTGTGCTCTCACCGTGAAGGTGACTTCTGCCAGGATGGCTCTGGGAACACAAGCGTGGTGCAGCCTGACCACGGTGCTGGGCTGTAGTTCCAGGTGGCTGGATGGAGTTTGGCACCACGTGGGCTCGGTTCCAGAGAGAGCACCCACCGCACCGCTGCTTCCCTGTGTCCCAAAGCCGTGGTTTGGTCTCAGGCAGTGCTCTGTGCTGTCCAGCTTCAGGTCAGGAAGGAGGAGGTAGGCTGGTGGGGAGGAAGGGGAGAGTGGACTCTCCCTTCAGGAGCGTGGAGATGGAACAGCCAGGGGCTGGAGGCCACCAGCCCATGCCCTCTGTTAGGAGCTGTTTGGAAGAAACTTATTGAAAAGGGAAGACGGCTCCTCCCCACACCCACAGTTCGGTGACGCCATGTCTGAACCATGCAGGTGTTGCCTAGATGTTGTCCCTGCAAGTAGCCTGAGGTGTGTCTCAGACACGAGGATCCTTCTTCACCCTCAGCTCAACTTACGCTTCTGCCCAGCTTTTATTGTTCCGGACTCTCCCCTTTGCCTGGTGGCCTGTGCCTGCCGTGAAAAGCATTCTTGATACGCAGGGGGTCAAAGGCAGGTGCTTGTTCATTCTTAATGGTACATCTCTTCCCCGGTGCTCTTCATCTTCCTCTTCCTCCCTGTTAGTTGAACCTGCTTTGCCCAGCTCAGCCTGTAGCTCCTGTGGCCTCTGCTGTTGGCAGTATGTATCCCTCCTTTCCCTCAACCCAAATCCCTTCCACGCCTCTGAAAAAATTCCTGTGAGCTGTCGGTGCTTCTGGTCGTGCTGGGTTGGGGTACAGGTTCCTGACCAGCCGGGGTCTGGGTCTGGGTTCCTGGTTCCTTGTTCTTCAGCCCTGAAGCCAAGCTGCCGGTGCCGTGTCCAGCCCATGTTCCTTGGCTGGAAGACTCGAATGCTGTTCGGTTACTGTGGCCGGAGCCCCTGGGGTGCCCTTCTAGACCCCCAGCCAGTGTCTGCCCTCCTCCTTTAACCTTTGGAGCTGGGAATGCACCATTCATGGTGGAGACTGTGGAGGGGAGGGACAGCTGTATCTCACACAGCTCCTGTGTTGTGCCCTGCCTCTCTGCAGCACTCCTGCGCACCTGAGCTTGCTCTCCCAAATTCTCTTTGCTGCAAACTGGTCCTTCGGCACCTCTTGCTGTACGTGGAGTCCCCTTTGCAAAGCAGGGAGCAAGCGGGCACGCTCTTCTTCGCTGGTGAGGAGTGTCCATCTCCGCTGCCTGCTGTGGAGGGAGCAGGGAGGAGTTGGAGTTAGACCTCGTGGTCCTTGTTCTTTTGGATGCTCGGGCTGAGCACGCACAGCTCCTGCAGGGAGAGGCCTCTCAGAGCGTGGAGGCGGCTGTGGCCAGGATGCAGCAGGGTATCACCCCAAGCTTGTCTCAGAACACCCTCGCTCTTGTGCAAGCGGACAGAAATAACTGGCAAAGCGCTGGGGTTTTCAGCGTTCCTGCCCAGCCGTGCCTGTCCCCCAGCGCTGCGGCAGGGAATCGAAGCCTGACACGAAGAGCCTTGTTCACGTTTCATGGACCCCTTTGAAATGGTCCAGGACTGCAGGATGGAGGAGTTGGTCCAGCTCTTCTTAAACCTACCTGCAGCTGTGGCCCCAGGGCGCTGTGGCAGCAAGGTCCTCGGGGTATACGTGGGTGAGCACGGTGGGGCTAAACCCATGTTTGGGTGCGAGTATGTCCCCTCTGGAGAGGGCGAGGGGACAATCCCTCTGTCCTCTGCCTCGCTGCGGTCTCTCTTCTCTGCAGCCCCTCTGGCTCCCACCTCTTGAAGTCCTTGGAAGCTCCTGTGGGCCCTGGGTCATCCCTATCCCCTCTTTCTGAACTCTGGAATAAAGAGGAAAAAAGTCCGTTTTTTTTTTTTCCAAATCCAGCTCTAGGTAAAAAAACTTCAGCGCACAAAAATTCATTCAAATTCCTGGCTCAATTTTTTTAAGCCATTGTTTTTTGGTTTTGTTTGAAATGGGAAGGGAAGTGGGGGGGTGCAAGTGAAGCTTGTGAGCTAATTGTTTCCAAACTTGGCATTCACTGCAAAATACCAAAAATATCATCTGTCTTTTTTTTTTTTTTTTTTTTTTGGCTGCTGCTGCTTTTTTGTCCTTCATGGTTTTCTTCTTGTCCCGCTCTCCACATGTGCCGCCTCCATATTCTTGGCTTTTTCAGTGGTGTTTGTGTCCTACTAAACTCCGCTTCGGCACCTGTCGTCCCACTGCCAGGAGATGGGGAAAGGGGAGACAGGGGAGGTGAAGGCTCTTCTTTTTGTTGGACAAGGATTATTTTTTTTACCTTTCCACTGAACTTTTAAGTAGTTTTGTAAAAGTAAGTATTTTCTGCTAGGAAGTTTTCCTGTGGAGCCAGCACAAGAGAGGAGATAAAGGGTTTTCTGGGGTCCATTTGGGTTTTATTCTGTATTTTAAAATATTTCCAGCTATCTGCAACAGGAATGTCCCATCCCTCCTCCCCAAGAGAGACTGGTGGGGTAAAACCCTGAAGACTTGTGCCCTTTCTTGTACCAATACTCGTGGCTGTAATTCTTTATTCCTGTGGTTCTCTTTACAGATTTTGGGGTTTTATACAACAATATTTGTGATGGCTCTGTACAACCTACGAATTCTGTGTCAATTTATTATTGGGTTTTAAAACGTAAACTAGCTGTTTTACATGTTTACCACGGCTTCTGGGGAGTATTTTTGTCCCGGGTTTTAAACCACCAAATGTAAAGAACTGAAAAATGTAAATAAAGATCTCCTTTTTTAAGACCACGTGTGCTTTTGCTGGGGTTAAACGTGCGATAAACGCTTGTCCGTACGCAGCGAGAAGCGGCTCCGGGCTTTCAGAGGAGGCCTCCGCCTCTCAAAAGCTGATTTATAGCCAAGGCTGCAGCAAAGCCGCATCTCCTCCACCATAGCGGGGGAACCCTTGGGGCAGCCGCCGGCGGGGTGAGCTCAGCTGTCCCTTGCTCCCGGCTGGAGGAAGGAGCCGTGCTCCCGGCCGGAGGAAGCGCTG